TAGTACATTAAGAACAAAAGAGGCGTTGCGATTGTGACACGCGCTGAGTGATTTTACGTGGCGTGCGCTTGACGTCGCATAGCGTTACATCGGGTAAGAGTGTTCCCGCTTTATGCGTACCAAAACGCTACCTGTGTAGCACGGTTCGTGGGCTTCGAGTCATCGCGCTTCAATACGCCAATAAGCGCCTTTCCTAAAAGTCTCATCCTATGCACCTTTTCACGGGGGTACAATCTTAATCTATTTCGCTGAGAAACATCTTTTTTACCCTGTTTTGCGAGAGGGGTAAGGCAATTGACACGGTGACTCATGTCTGTAAGGCACCCAAGGATTCTTGAAAATGAATTTTTTAGTGGTCAGAGTGTACATTGTACTTGGTATATACAGGAGGGCTTAACGCCAACTACGTTGAGTATCACGGACGAGGGGTCAAACCGCATTACATTACATTTCTCATATCATTATCAATTAAAAAGCCATGGGTTCTCCCGGTATTCGTACCCAGAACCGCTAGCAAAGTCGCACACAAAAACCACTCAGCCACCGCGGTTCCCTAGTGGAAAAAAAAACTTTTTTCTACAGTTTTATTTTGGACCTAACAAGAGTAACCTAAGTTCTTAGGGTCACCGATTTCGTCGAAACGTTTTATAGTGATACTAGGTCGAAAAATAACGAGAGCCACAATACACAAAGTTTAACATTTTATTAGGCTTCCTGATACTAAACTCACCAACCCTCTGTACAGGTCTATAATATTTTTTTGATGACCTATCATCTCATAATTGCATTCAAATTGATTGAGGGTGCTGTGATCAGTGGCAGCTTTGTGAACGCAATTTTTGATCATTTTTGCAACTGAAATCCTTTATCTTGGCTTTTGGACGTAACCTTCCTACACTTGTCTAATTTTTTGATATTGGTTCAGATAAAAAAGTCAGTGTCAGGAGCGGGATTCGAACCCACGACCCTCGGCTCAATACGCCGCTGCTCTACCCGTCGAGCTACCGTGACTTCGATCCACTCAGACACCATCCTCCCACTTCAACTCACCTTTCGAATTTTCCCTCCTTGTTAGTAATTTTTAAACTCGTGGACATAACACTATAAAACTCAGAGATCGAATTAGAGAAAATACTATCAATAGTACGTCTTAAGAACAATGCAGAATCCAAATTGGTGGTGAGGATGATTTTTTTTTGCTACAAGGTTTTTAATAATTACTTTTCGAAAGCTTAGAGGCTTTTGGTAGTAGCGATAATGGCCTATATGATTTGACCTCGTTCGCCGGTTTTTTTTATTTTATTTTATTTATTTTTTATATCATAATGACTTCTGCGAATTTCCAGATGCTGGGAACATATTTCAGTCTGATTGTTTTTCTCTCCTGTCTCTCGCCCATGTACCATCCTCTTTTTTAATGGAGGAATTTGGACGATTAGTTTTTAAATTTTTTCTATAGCCTTCCATAGAGAGTAGTCAGTGACTTCGCCTGGGGTTAAATCTTCTAGAATAAATCTAGAAAACCTCTGAACAAAATTTGCAAAACAGCATGCTGCAGATGCTGCTAATTTAAGGGCAGTATTTATGTCGGGAGGGCTTAAACAGTTAGCGGTAGATTTTAAATAATATAGCTTGGTGGTTTCACAAAATTAAATCACAGGTATTAAGAAAAGTGCCTTTTTTGTTCATTTGAACATTTGTTCCAAGGAAAAATTAAAAGCTCCGACATACACACATAGACTTGTGTATTACTTATGTTTATTGTCATTAATTGGTTTGAATGTTCTGTCTAAATTTGCATCCTCCTTCTCGCTTAAAAAAAAAAAAAATGGCCATCATCGAAGGTTCTCCTTACTCCTGCCTTGTCCCGTCTCTGCTCCAAGTTTTTCTTGTTTCGGCTGCCGTGTAGTATTTCATGCTGTCCATTAACATTGACAGCGATCCTCCTTTTACGTCTACTCCAACTACTCTATTATAACGTTCATATTGATTCCTTTCCAGCTACTTGGTCTTTTTCCTGAAGACTCATCCCTTTTTCTTTTTATTATCCCTAATACGTAAATGTTATGACGAAGTGAGAATATGATAACGCCTTAAAAACAAATATATCGGTTAAATTATTAAAAAAATATTATTGACAAAATAGACAATATATTGAGTTAATAATGTTAAATTCCACAAAATCAAATATATTTCAAATTTGATCAAAGAAATGCGCAATAAATGAAAAATGATTGCATAATAAATAAATATACCAGGGGTACCTCACCTGTCATAACTAAATAGGTTCGACGTTGTTTCTAGCACCATGGAAAATTTGTTGGGCATGACCTCTAAACAGGAAAATCTATAAACCGTATTTGTCTAGCATTGTACAAAAATGTGTGGTGATTAGTGACCGTTAATCTATAATTATTCAGAAATCGTGAGATGCGGTCTGGTGTGATGTAGGTTTCAGAAAAACATTAAGTTTACAGTTAAAAGTGTTTGCCTTCTGTGTAATTGTGCCATTCTTGCGTGTCGTGTTGAGAGGGCACACTTTGAGCCCTGAAGATGATCTCAATAAAGATCGAAACGTTGGCACGATAAAGAAAATGTTTTTCTGAAAACTACATCACACCAGACCGCATCTCACGATTTCTGAATAATTATTGTACAAAAAGTCGAATGAACGAATATCCTATTTCCCGCCTACTGTACTAAACTGATTCATTTTAAACTCAACGTTTTTAATGCTGTGAATACATGTTTATATATTTTAACTATTTGGATCATTAGAAATAGTTTCAAAGTCGTGAAGAAGGATAAAATATATTCCTCTATAAAGCTTTACGATGAACTAAGTCCACTTCACTTTTTTCACAAACGCCTTACCTTTCAATTTTTCTTTAATTTTACTTATAATATAATGCTGAAATTATCACAGCAGAGAAATATTGCCAAGAAATTGACAAAACGCGCGGGAAACAGCATCGCCTTTGTCAAGCATGGGTAAAAAGTAAGAAGCCGAGTCTTCTTCACGATACGCCAAGCCACATGTCGCAACGCCAACCATGCGGACACTTAATGACTTAAGTCGCATAAATTTGAACCCTGCTTGCCTCATAGCTGATTCTTTTGTCCAGTGTTTGAATTTTTCTTACTCAAGCCATTTTTCCAGTTCCAACTTAACCACACACTCAGGTGCAACTAGTTGTGGTTTGGGTCAGGTTAGGCTAGTTGGCCAGCCTGTTCATTTACTTCTTAACTTCATGTCCCTGTACCGACTTCAAAGCCGGCAACACACCCGTTGCAACGCTACTCGACGCAAATCCAAACTCCAATTTTCCATAAGATTGAATTATCCCCGTGCATATCTGCCAGATGCCAGGCCACGCTGATCTTTGTTGGGTAGCATTGAGTACAGTCGAAGACAAAAGAACCGGACACTCACATTTTTATTCAAACTACATACTTATTTTAATATAAAAATTTAAAAAAAAATTAATTTTAATGGTTTGGTAGAAAATTGTTCAAAACACCGGAATAACTTTATTTAAAACAATTAAATTTAACTAACAATTTATTACATGGTTGTGCTCATAAAATTTTAGTCTATTTTCGTCGATTAAAGTCAGAACAGGACACTCATATTTTTATTCAAACTACATACTTATTTTAATATAGAAATTTAAAAAAAAATTAATTTAAAAATTAATTTTAATGGTTTGGTAGAAAATTGATCAAAACAATGGAATAACATTATTTAAATCAATTAAATTTAACTAACAATTTATTTCATGGTTTTGCTCATAAAATTTTCGTCTACTTTCGTCGAGTAGAGTCAGAACAGGACACTCATATTTTTTGTAGGTTGTTTCAAACTAAGTATATGTAATTTTGTCGTTATGTTAATTACAACATTCCTATTTTAATGTAAATCAAATTAAACAAGATCAAAAATTCATAAGTTTTTATCAAAATTATCAAAAAACTGGAATAATTTTATTCAAAACTATTAAATTTAACTAACAATTTATTTCATGGTTTTGCTCTTAAATTTTTCGTCTATTTTCGTCGAGTAGAGTCAGAACAGGACACTCATATTTTTTGTAGGTTGTTTCAATCTAAGTATATGTAATTTTGTCGTTATGTTAATTACAGCATTCCTATTTTAATGTAAATCAAATTAAACAAGATCAAAAATTCATAAGTTTTTATCAAAATTATCGAAAAACTGGAATAACTTTATTCAAAACTATTAAATTTAACTAACAATTTCTTGCATGGTTGTGTTCAAAATAGTGCATTAAGAACAAAAGAGGCGTTGCGATTGCGATACTGATTGTGATACCCGCTGTGTGATTGTACGTGGCGTGCGCTTGACGTCGCATAGATGTGCACACCATACCAAAACGTGACAAGGCGTCGGGTAGCGTCGCATAGCGTTGCATCGGGTGTATTCCCCGCTTTAGTCATCTTCTGGCTTGTATCATTTATGAGAGAACGTCAGATTGGATAAAAAACATCGACTTAAATGATACAAGCCAGGGGATGACTTATGAATAAAGTCGAAACCGGTCGCCAGAAAAACATCGGTTTTCTTCCAAAAACCCTTACACAGTAGACAGACACACACAAACAAAAACTGAATTATTCCTCGACCCCATACCATCATAAATCCGAAAAAATAAAAACACTTGTTACACGTTGGCAAAGATGTTAAAAATAGTTTTGGCTGCCTTTTCAATGCCTTAATTATTTTTGCCCTAGCCCAATAAATGCAAGGAAGAATAAAGGGTTCGATAAAAGAGCTTACAAATTTATTAGCAAATGGAAAAATACCAGGAATCGGGATGGATCCCCGTTGGCGTGGGATGAGGTCGAACAGGCCGGGATTTTTTCGTTTCATGTATATTTTAAATTATTTTATAGCGGATAATGTCAATCATTGGGGTACAACGGGAGGCTGCGTTCTCCATCGCTCAGGTTTATTTACGTCGGTGCAGTTCACGCAGGACTGTATCGGCGCTGGGTGGGAAGGGGCTCCAGTCCACATTTGATTCACTTCCCCGACGAAAGCCGACCAGTGAAAGAGCCGCTCTCGCTCCGTGTAAAATGTAACTCGCTCCGACTTCGAACACGTCGTTCACCACTTCCATCCGACACGACTTCTTATACTTAAGGTAAAGTTTTTCAATTAAACTTACAATCTTCGTTTTAAGATCCAAATTGATATTTCACATCACGTTCCGAATTTAAAAAAATAAATAAAATTGTGACAAATTTTCAACAACATCGCATGAAATATCGTTAAATTTAGCGCGATGTTCAACATATTTTTGCAACTATTTATGGGAAATAGATTAAAACTCTACCCCTAAAGAAATCGCTCATAAATACTCGATTGGGCACGATTTCCAAAAAAAAAAAAAAAAAAAATAATAAAAAGTTCACGGATAATTTTTTACACATATGACCTTTCGCGATGTTCAATATATTTTTGCAAATATTTATGGGAAATAGATTAAAACTCTACCCCTAAAGAAATCGCTCATAAATACTCGATTGGGCACGATTTCCAAAAAAAAAAAAAAAAAAATACGGATATTATTTATTAAAATTAAATTCACGCTGTTCATACACGTTCAAAATATCGGAACCTCAAAAATAAACGAATCGGCCGCCAACAGGTCCTTAGCCTGAACCAATGTTTGTCTTGTTAACAGTGTTCTAATTTTTTTAAATTTCGTAAACATTCAGAATAAAGCATAACTCAAGATTTGACAAAAAATTTGCTTAACGAAGCTTTTTTGGTTTCTTAATAAGTACACATTCTGATGCCATATAAAAACAATTAACAACAAGCATTTATATAATTTTTACTTTTTTTGAAATAACCTGAATTTTTCGATTTTACAAAATCTTGTCATCTTGCGCCTTTTTGTAGAAAATGAAGAATCAAATTCAAAACATACAACAGTTTATCACACTAACAAGCGGAGACGACGGACGTGGCATTGCCGGTTTTAATTTAAAAAATTGTTTGGGGGGAAACCAATCAGACAATAAAAATATTAGTGTCCAAGGGTTCTTGCTAACGGGACTTAGGAGTCGAGAAAATTCTACCTTTTTGTGCTTTATTTCCTGGTTCGTTTTATATCAGTCCATTTTTAACGGAGGAGAAGAAAATAATAAGAAGGACCGTATTAAAAGAGATTAACTATATAAAAAGCTGGAACAATGAAAACTCGCTTTCAAATCCTATTTTCCAGTAAAGTAGGTCAAAAAATTATTTTAAAAAATTTTGATTAGTTTTAAACACCGATGAAAGCCCAGAAATATGAAAACAAAAAAAAAAAAAAATACATTATTTGGCTGAATTAACCCGGGCGATTTTTTTCTGATATGTTTACATTTTATTTTGGTAAAAACTATCTAGAAAAAATTTAGATCTTGTTTCGCCCTAAGTGAGAGAAATTGTGAATTCAACAAAAACACGTCGGGCTGTTTTATAATTTATACAGATACTTAATTTACCCCATTGCATGTAGTTTTAATAGGCGAAAACCCGTGTAAAGTTTCACGTGGGTCATAAAAGTCGTTTCAAAGTTATGATTGTTTTTGTCCTTTTCGGTAAACATAGTTTCTTCGTGCTTCATCAACAACTCATGAATACAAATATTTGGATAGGTCGAAAAATAATTGCGTCACTCATAATTTTTGCCTTAAAAAAATCAAGAAAATAGTCATAACTTTTAAATGACCCCTTTGTTCTATTGGAAACTTTACACGGATTTATAATCCGATGATTTACACGTAATGGCACAAATTTCATATATATACATAATTTTTACCTACTTTATTGGAAACGATAGTTCATAGTTGTAACTTCTTATATGTTTAATCTCATTTAAACGGTCCTGCTTATTATTTTCTAATCCCAGGTTAAAATTCAACTGACATGAAATACTCTGGAAATAAAAGTGGAACAGAGGCCGGTTTTTCTCCGCTTCTAGGTCCATTAGCAAGAACCAACCCTTGGACACTAATATTTTAATATTTTTATTGTCTGATGTTTTCTAAACTTCTTAAACGAATCCTAATTATTTTTTAAATAGTTTTAATTGTACTTTTCATATATTTAACCTTTTTTGATACGATCTACCTTACTATTTTCTAACCAAAAAAATCTATTAATACATTTTAATAATTTTGAAATAAATGAATAATAAAGAGAGAAAAATGTTTATTGAAAGTGGATAAATCACTTTTAAAAACTTTTTTAATGGTTTTTAGTTCCCATTAGCAAGAACGCAAATATTTTTTGACCTTGTCTCCACAAAAAAAGTTTCATTAAAATCCGTTATCCCATGTCTGTATACTACGCTTGTTAGCGAGATTTTCATTTTTTGTTTTGAATTTGAATCTTATATCAAAAGAACGTAAATATATTTATAATTTACATTTTGAAACAGAGGTTCAAGAGGGCTTTATCGTTTTGATAAGTTTTATTTAAATGAATATAACGTACGTCGCAAGAAGGTTTATGGTAAAATATTCAAACAATGACAACATAAAGCATAAAAATCGTTTTAAAAAAGTCAATACATTGGATGAAACAATATCCTTAATTTGAGTGAATGTATATATTAGCGTGTGTGTGGTGATTAGTGACCGTTAGTCGATGATTATTCGTAAATCGTGAGATGCGGTCTGGTGTGAAGTAGGTTTTAGAAAAACATTTTCTTTATGGTGCCAACGTTTCGATCTTTATTGAGATCATCTTAAGAGCCTGGGATTTACAAACATTGTTTAAATTTAGCAAATGCAAATAGGATGTGGAAAACAATGAATTTATACGTACGTATTAGCGTACATGTGTGGGTGTGTATGTGATGGGATATCGAGTACCCACAGACACACTAAAGTAGTCTTGGTTATTTAGTTTTATTTATATTTGCAGTTTGACAGGGGGTAGTCACTGGCGTTATATCAAAAACCCTGGTGACTATCCGATTATGTGAGTGTTTCTATTTGAGCGAGTGGTTGTGTGTATAAACAACGTCTGTGTGGAATATGGAATCCCCAAAGGCCAGTCATATTATGCTAATTTAGGATAGTGAACGCGTGATTTTTATTTAATGTTTTGATACGTCAATGACGGGAAGACGTCACGGTGAACCTCCAAATCTTAGATTAGATAATCGTTTTAATAGTATGAATGTGTATTTTAATTGAATTAGGACATTTTAATAGCGTGTGGAAAGGTAAAACCTAAAACATAGAGGTTATAAAAAAAAAATTGCGAGCTTGACAAAACATGAGAAGCCGGCAATAGCTATAGCTGGCCAAAAACAGTTAGTGGACGTTTTAATAAATTTTTTGACGATATAAATAATAAAAAGGGGGTCCGCGATAGCCGAGCGGTTATGGTGGACTCGTATTTGCCACGCCAGTGGTCTTAGTTTCGAATCCCGCCAGAGCCCATGGAGTTTTAATTTGTGAATAAGATGGAGTATTATAAATAGGTTCGACACCCCCTTCTGCCACACCCAACGCATCGTTGGACGTTAAGGGTACTTAACCTGGATGACAGGAATTACTTTACTAGAACTGATTATTTGGAGATCGTGAGATGCGGTCTGGTGTAACGAAGGTTTTAGAAAAAACATTTTCTTTATCGTGCCCACGTTTCGATCTTTATTAAGATCATCTTCAGGGCCTAGGATTTACAAACATTGTTTACATATTACAATTACATTTTGGATGTGGAAACGTGAATTTATACAATGCAAAATATATTTTATATATTCAATAAAAGTATTTCTACTCACTCAAAGTGTTTGTCTTCTGTGTAATTGTGTCATTCTTGCGTGTCGTGTCGAGAGTGCCAGTGAGATTTTGCTGTTTTATGTTTATATACGTTGGATTTTGAAGGAGTGGGTATAGAAGTCGGTATAGAAAAGACATTTATGTATAAGGCGTCGACTTCTTTGAGGTGAAAAGAGCCGACGAAGGGAAACAATGTGTTGGTAATGGTTCAGGCAGATTATCCTTTCAGGATTATATAGAAAGGGATAAATAGGAAAAGGAAAGCTGAATTGTTGGGAAATTAGACTATGTAAAAAATATCTGATGTGTGGAATGTAATGACGATATAGGTATGTTATCTGTATTGAATTTGATTAATGATATTGGCGTAGCTGCGACTGAGTTTACATGTCTGTTCTGTAATCGATGCTGTGTTTATCTCTGTTGATATAAATCATTTTATATTTTTTTATATAAGGACTCGGCTTCTTTGAGGTGAAAGGAGCCGACGCTGGGAAAAAATGGATAATGGTTCGGCCTGATTATCCTTTCAGGATTATATAGACGGAAATAATTAGGGAAAGGAAAGCCAAATTGTTGAAAAATTAGACTATGTAGAAATGTTTGATGTGTGGAATGTAACGATTGTTTTATATGTTTTGTGTGATATGATGATGATATATGTATGTTATCGATGAATGTGATTAATGATATTAGCGTAGCTGCGACTGAGTTTACATGTCTGTTCTGTAATTGATGCTGTGTTTATCTCTCTTGATGTAAACCATTTCTAAAAAGTTACGTTATTGTTTGTTTTTTTCTGTGTGTAATATTTTTGGATAGTTGAAGTTGAAATTAGGTTGGTGTTCAAAATCGTGGGTAGCCAGTGCTGTAGGATTTTGTTTGGGTTTTTTGCAATCATAGATATGTTGCTTTACTCTGTTATCTAGATGTTGGGATGTAATACCGATGTAAGTGTAAGTTGCCGGACTTGAACAATAAACGTAATTTCTTAGAAATGGTTTATATCAACCGAGATAAACACAGCATCAATTACAGAACAGATAGATGTAAACTCAGTCGCAGCTACGCCAATATCATTAATCAAATTCAATACAGATAACATACCTATATCATCACATTACATTCCACACATCAGATATTTTTTACATAGTCTAATTTCCCAACAATTCAGCTTTCCTTTTCCTATTTATCCCTTTCTATATAATCCTGAAAGGATAATCTGCCTGAACCATTACCAACACATTGTTTCCCTTCGTCGGCTCCTTTCACCTCAAAGAAGTCGACGCCTTATACATAAATGTCTTTTCTATACCGACTTCTATACCCACTCCTTCAAAATCCAACGTAT